AGAACTCCACACGATCCACACAAACTCATCTTATTTCTGTGTTAGCAGCTTGTTCCTCAGCGGGAAGTTCTCAGTCTGTCAGCACTGCTCTTCTAATCACTGGGACCAGTCAGAGGCGGACATCTATTATGCTGCTCTGCTTCTCCATACAGTACCAATAGATGTAGTGTAAATGTGAAGAAAATAAAATGTAAACTTTGTATGTAAACTTCACATGCTCCTAAAACGCTGTCCTGTGGTGGTGCTACCAGTTAAATGGGGATCCCAGTCATTTCAATAGAGAATTTTGGATAAGTTTTGTAGATAAAATATGACATAAAGTTGGTTCATCACCGATTCTCTGGGGGTTAACTTTAAAATGACTTTACTGTCCATATTGAACTTGAAACTGATAATAATATAAGATAATACAACCTGAAAGATGGTGGTGGGTGTACAGCAACTTCCGGAATAAGGTGAATAATAATCCGACTGCCATATTGGTTTTATACTGTGATAATTTTGTTTTGTTTTGACTGCTAATTCTGAACATCTGGGTATTTGAAAAGGCAACAAAACTCCAGTCACAAGAAAGCTGATACGAGTTTCACAATGTCTTGATTTGCAAAAGTAATTTCCTTTCTGTAATTCTCCCCACTCTCACTGGAAATGTTGAATTATAAAGGGATTAACCATAATTAATGAATGCCCTTGTCGCTATTTCCTTTACAAATTGGAGATTTTTTTAGCTCAGTTTCTTAACCTGTCAAAGCTGTTTTGGAGTAAAGTAGAAAATAGCATTCACACCCTTTCCCATAGATCTCATGTTGACTTAAGGTGTTTAAGGTGTACAAACTTGTGCCTGTACCTTGTCTAATGTCAGTGATCTACCAACATGTCTGACTCTTAAGTAAGTAATAAAACAAAATACTAAAATACATGTTCCCCCATTTCCTCTAACCTCACTCCCAGAGCCACAGCCCAGTGCCACTTCAATTAGATTCTATTGGATTTGATTAAATCTTCCTTGAACTCTCACTTGACGGCAGTATCTATCTGAGGAGTATTATTTATCTTGTGTCGAGAGGTGGCAGCTTGTTGGATCCTACGGAGAGGGGGGCGTACACGTAAGAAGAGGAGCGTGCACGTTAGAAGAGCGTGCACATCAGGAGAGAAGCGTGCATGTGTAAAGAAGAGCATGCAAGTGTGGAGAGGAGCGTGCATGTGTGGAGAGGAACGTGCATGAACAGGAGCGTGCAGGTGTAGAGAGGAGTGTGTATGTGAGGAGAAGGGCGTGCACGCGTGGAGAAGAGCGTGCACGTGTGAAGAGGACCACTCCTGCGCACGGGCGTCACATCTGCTTTGTCTGTGCGGTGCAGTCTATTAGATTCATGTTTTCATTATGCAAATCTTCTTGGAATGCAAATGCTCCCATTGTATATTTATCACAGATCACTGGAGAGCATCTTAATATGGTACAATTGAAGGATTATAATAATTAGGCATTATGGTAATAGCACTGTATTGTGAATTTAATTTGTGTATTGTCTTGGATAGGTGTAGCCACTCATCTGATAAAGTAATATTTATGATGGGACTGGCTCCTTCTTCCAACTTAATACTGATGCATTATTTATGTACAAAATATCAGTGGCTCCCTGTGTACAACTGAAAGGTGGGTCAAATGCAATACAATGTTTTGCCAATTAATAATTTCACTTCAATCTAAATTTTTCTTATTGATTGAAAAATGGTCCAAAACATCTAGCCAGGCTGGCACCACCTAGTGCCCCCGCTCAATTTCATTTCTCTCCAGCGACTAGGTCAGAAATCGGAATACAGTAGACGGTTTGCAAGAACCATGAAAGTTGTAGACTGCACACCGGCCGATCAGCAAAAAGCTGTGTGGTACAGCACAACAGTAAACAAAGCAGTCGAGATGGATGTAGACGAAGCCATATATTCTGTGTTGGCAACAATTCCTGAGATCAAGGATTTAAAGCTGGAACAAAGAGAATGTTTGGTGAATTTTATCAAGGGGAAAAACATTATTGCCCTCCTTCCTACGGGATTTGGGAAAAGCTTAATATACCAGCCCCGTTAGCGGCACATTACAGTGTCACAACTAAATATCAGCGATTGGTTAAATTAAAACAATACCCACCTACCGTCAAGGGAATGAATCCTAATGCTGTGAGGTCAGACGGTTTCCACGAAGTGAAACTGGCTGATGAATCAGGCTACAAAACATGAAAGCTGCACCACAGAACTTTTGTACTGGACTGTTCCACAGTATGGCACTAAACTCATTTTTGTTGCTCAAAAGTTCCTTGAAAAACATGCTGCCTCATTACTCTCCACAGATCTGACCTACAGCGTGGCCTGTGTCTCCACGGAGACAGCTGAATTCATTACACATTTGTGGAGCATGAACTAAATATTAACATCTCCCTAGGGATAAGCAGGTAGCTGACCCTCCACCAAAAAAGTTCCACAGTGCAGCTTTAAGTAAATGTTGTGCTTGCCTGTCCTCGGGGGCCTTGGTGTCTTGGCTTTGCCTCCTGTCACCGTTCTATGTAAATGGAAGTGCCTGCAGCGTGTCAGCGATAAACAGGCTCTACTGAAGCCAACGAGCTGAATCCATCTGCAGCTAGCATTACCTAAGGTTAGCCCATGAAACATTATACACCAGATCTGTCTTTGGCTCAAATCAATCCCTGTTTATAGAGCTGCTGTGCTGTGGGCCGGGGGCAGTGCACGGCCTGTGTGCACTCAGTCACACCTGAGCACACAAATAAACTCAATGTAAGGCAGTAACAAGGCAGACAAATGACACACACAAGTGCTGTGGGAGGCAAATACAAGCTAAGCAAAGGGAACAGCACAAGGCACACACAATAGGACTGAAAGGTTTTAAACTTACATCTTTGTACTTAGAAATTTTGGTTTGAAAATTTTTATAATATTGCATCAGTCTTAGTTTGTGGCTGTTTACATGCACAGCCAAAATCTGACCATTATCTGATTTCTGGAATTATCAGATTACTGAAATGTCATGTAAACAGTTACATCTGATCTGAGTAATCTGATTTCTTTCTGACTGTGACATCTGCAAAGTTTTTGACAAGGAAACATATACAAAAAGTGCAGACTAAATGTTGTCTGCCCCGACGAATACCATTCATATAGTTAAAGCGCGTTGCTTTGCCTAAATAAAGGACTTTAATTGTAAGTCATAGTGCCTCGGATCTCCTTTTTCTCTCTAGTCTATTCATCTCCTAGAAACTGTAACTTGGGCCTCCAGTAGCTGATCTCTGTCCTGAAACTTTCTCCAGAACCCCCTCTGGCATTAACATCAAATACATAAAGCAGTGATGTTAAATTGACTTTGGGCCCTCACTATAATGCACTGTTTTGTTGTTTGTATTTAATTTAATTTTTATGTATTTTTAAATATTTATTGTCTGTTTTGTCTGTTTGTTTTTTGAGACATGCACATCTATATTTGAATTAGAGTGGACTAGAAACTGGTCTTATTAGTTAGGTAGCCTACTAGATAACCAGAGCTGAAACTAGTTTTATTATTTTGCTAGTACAATTATTTTTGTTTACATCCATTATATATGATTATGCTACGATTATGTTCAATTCAGGGTCAAGCTGACTAGTCCATTCTAACGTGAAGGGGAGGGTGCATTGACAGTTAAAATAGATTTGAAAATCAGATACTATTTTGAATGTGTTTTATTGTTTACAAGTAAACTACTCTCATTTAATGTCATATTGAGAAAAAATCTAAATTGCTCTGAGGTGTCGGTCATTAGTGGCACTGAGGGCAATTGTTTAGGAGCCCCTCCAGGTTTGGGGACCCTAAGTGGCCGCCTACTTTTGCCTAATAGTAGCGCCACATCTGATCAAATCCCATGGTTATAGACCTATTTACATATGATTCAACCTTTTTATTGCAATTTTTTCAACACTATTTGATTAAGTCTGTGTATTTTATTCTCACATTTCCTTTGTCTTATATCATTTACCCATACCCTCTTGCTGTGGTTGAAGGTTAAGATCCCAGACATCTGATTTCTGGACAAACAGCCCCTCCATTTTAAGTTATGAAAATAATATTTAATCTATTCAACCTCACAAATGGGCTACACTATCAATTTCTCCAGCCTTTACTTACTCATATGGCTATGTCTAACAGATCAGGTGCCCCTTCCCCTGTGCCTACGAGCAACTGTCATAATGTATGGGGTAAAGTGCTGATCTGGCAGTGGCCCTGTTACAGCGCCCCTCAAGGGAGAGAGGGGGAGAGGCAGGGGAGAGGCAGAGGGTGAGGCAGGGGAGAGGCGGGGGCTTACAGATGGATGGATAGATGGAGTGTGTATATAAGCAATTTGCTATGGCAACTTTAGATGAAGCCATAATTTGTCAGAGACTGAGTGAGTGTGAGAGAAAGGCCAGTGGATGGGCTGGCAGCAGTCTCTTACTCAGCACAGCCACAAAACATGATGAAAAATGTTACCGTGGCGACTCTGTGTGCGGGCAGGTATTTATTACATTTTGGGGACTGAAATCTGTATACACACTACCATCTGGGGACCTGCCTTTCTTATGGGGACAAAAATCAGGTCCCCATATTTTTTTTGTACAAGATCAACAGCATGGTTTAAAGTTCAGATATAGGTTACGATAGGTTAAGATTCGTCAAACAGTGACTATGGTTAAGTTTAGGATCAGTCTCCAGGAAATTAATATAAGTAAATATAATGTCCAGAGTCGTGTTTGACAGTTGTGCCACCAACAATGACCACAGGGCAAGGCTGACACCTTCAGGGCAGTCATGGTACTGGGGGAGTGTTCAGCGCAGCAGGTGAAAGAAAACCTATGGAGAACTATATACCTACAAGTATTTTGATTGTGAAAATTATTCTTGAAATATAAGCTTCATTTGGTAGATTCCATGGCAGTATTACTCAATGATTAGGCTGCTCACAGAAGACAAAGTACTTAAAAGCTGTATCTTAAGCTTAATTTTAATATCATTATCAGTATTGTTTTAACAAAATGATGCCACACGTTACATTCAGTACTAGTAAAGACCCATACAATTATATAAATGTATAAAAGCCACATAGAAGCACTCTTTGACACATATTCAGGGCTTAATATTACATGACAGTGCAAGAAAAAAGGAAACAATAATAAAATACATTTAATTTTATGGTAACAGATATGGCTACATAAGCTAATTTTGCTCTGGTCTACTGCACATAATTTAACATATCTTTATCCCCTGTAACAAGATCCGATTTGTAATAAATTCAGTTCAGTAACACAAGAATGCAGGATCAGTTTAGAACATAGATGTATTCCTTTGGTAGAGCTTCATTTATGGCATTCATTTAAAGTTTGGCAACTTTGACACACAACTTGGGGAAACATGGGTCTTATTCCTTGTCTCTTAAGAGAATTGGCAATTCAACAGACACTTCACAAATTAGAAAATAAACTCTAAAACTTTGAATTTTGTCTGTTGTTCTGTTTGGCAAAATCTGAATATGCTGGCTCAAATTGGCTTACCCCACAGATGGTTCTCTCTATGCTTTTGCACAAATATAAGAAATAATAGCAGAGTTGAAATTATGAGTTATACCACACTACATTGAAAAGTAATTGTTAAAGTGCCCCAAAAGGATACCAGCCACACAAAAGAAGAGGATCATTAGAGGACAGGCACAGTGCTATTAGATAAATATCACACGTGTTAAAGCAAAATGGAAAAGAGGATTCGGCTGCCACTCGTAGCAAAGGTCAGATACTTTGAATGAGCCATGAATTATGTAAAAAGGCTCCAACTCGTTAGGCTTTATACCCACACAGAAAGGGTTTAATAGAGCAGTCTTTGAAAGCTTTTTTAGAAACGCGTGGATAGAGAAATTACAGAAGAAAAGGCCAGCTTTGTGTTCGCTCAGGTTGTTCAGGTTAGACGTAGGCTTGTCCCAGATCAGCTTTACCCTCTGATCTGGCAGAATAATGAGATGTGGGCATCAGAGGCGGGCCACTGACGCCTTCGGAGTGGGTAGTCTTCCTCCTAAAAACACACATTTGAGATTATATTTTGAAATGGAAAAGATTGACTGTCAGACATTAATGATGATTTCTTACCCAAAGTGTCCTCTAAGGAATTGACCGTCACCTTATTGATGTTTAGACTTGTCTGGTCCACTCTGAAGCAAAGGGAATTTGAAAGCATATCACTGAATATGACATGACATGAGGCCTTTATAAAGCAAAGTCTGGTATTTTTTATATAAGATAATCTTGTCTACTTTTTCATATGGCAATCAAGTTATGGACGCCAGTTTTACAGGAAATGAAAATAATGTACCTGTACAATAAGATATTTGCATGTTCTGAAATAAATATACAAATTTTGATGATTTAAATGGTATACCTTTTTACTTTCCGTACAGCTCCAAGTCTGAGCAAAGCTGCAAAAGCGTTCTTCTGGAGGTCAGAGGACAGTACTTCAGGATATCTCAATGTGCCTAAAACACAAATACTGCAATCAGTTACAATACTTCATCAGGATGAGCCAAAAAACACATCACACATCACACATCTTACTCCCGTTACCTGCCAATAGCTGTTTGACTATGAACTTTCGAACTGTTAGAACAAATTCCTTCTCTGTAAGTGCATCAGTGGCTTCTTCACACAAAAAGGCACACACCACCTAAAGAAACAGTAAAGGTTTTCATGTGATGGTAGCGCCCTCTGGTGAGCAACCTCTAAAATCACATTTAAACTGATTTAAAATAGCATTTCAAATTAATTTTGGACCAAATAAAATCAGGCAACCACAAAACAAAATGTCCTGAACTAGATGTACTGTGTGTCAAATAACCAGATGTACTGTGTAACAGGATGAACTAGAGAGAACTCATAATATTACAGAGAAGTAAATTGTTTATATGATGAAAACTCGAGTCAAGATTCACTGGAGAGATGCCCACCTGATATCCCTGTACAAAGGGAAGCAGCAGACGGCTGAGAAAACTGATTGTTCTGTGCCCTATGTGAGTCACCACCATCTCCTGTTGGCTCACTTGGAGCACCCCAGTCTTCACCAGCAGGAAACAGGCCTCTTCAAAGTCCTACACAAGAGCTTTATATTAAAGCACTGGAAAATGAGTCACATGTGATATGTGTAAAATGTGCAAACCTGCACAGTGGCATTTGGACATAGGATGAACTCATTACAAAACATGTTTCTCAAGAAGCAGAAAGTGTTGAAAATATCCTCTGAAAAACAGAAGAATGAATAAAACACTACAGTTTTAAAACCATACATTTGTGATCAAACAATAAAGAAATGAGGCAGCAGTATTGACTCTTACGTTTGTTGTTGGTGGTACACGTGTGAATAGCAGTGGCCAGCAGAGCAGGGCGCACAAACAAATGGAGGGCTTGGTTCCTGTAGGACACACAAGAAAGCACTGGCACCGCTCGGTTCAACACCTGCTCCTCAGGGGAGACGGGACCTGACTGGGCATCTATACAACAGTAACAATATATATTTAAATATTAATACAGGGATTATTGCAAAACTTATTATCATAGGGTGCTCATCATTTCATAAGGACTCCTAACTTTGTTTCTTATGATGAATTCAACAAAATCTTTGATATCAAGTAAACAAATAATATATTAAACACGTGATTTTTATTTTATATATTTTTTTATTGCCTTAAAGTATGCCATTCCAAGGCAAAAATGGTAACATAAGTAACCATACCTTGATTGAGTGCCACATAAACTTTTCCTTCTGAGAGCCTCACCAGGCCGTGATGTAAAGAGAGACTGGAGGAAACCACCTCCGATGGAGTCATGTGGTCTGAAGAAAAACACATTCAACTGGTCAATACTTTTAACCAGGAAACATAACAGCATATAAAGCGTGGGGAAAAACTGCTACTATATGGTACCAGGCCAGTGCAGGAAGCCCCCATACTGTCGACACAGGTCTTTGAGCCACAGGGCCTGTTCAGTGAGCTCCTCCAGGGGGATGCCCCTCTCTAGGTCCTCAGCCTGGAGCAGGATGGTGGCCAACAGCACCCAGGGCTTTAGGACCATGTTCTCCTCCTGAGCCCGCACCAGTCTGTACGCTGTGTCATTCACAAAGGTCTGCACATCCTCACTGGGGCGCTTTGGGATGTACCTGCATTTAAAATATTAAGTATAAATAAAAAATCTATTTAGTGTATTACAGTGTAATGTAGCAGAAGATGAGGACTAATTTCACAGATTACCATACTATACCTTGGTGTGAGGCTGAACTGGCAGCGGTTCACTCGACCCTCTGCTAAACGTCTGACTGACACAGGCTGGCCAAAGTAAACATGGATGCTGCCATAGTCTTCACTCAAGACTTTTCTAGCTTTGAAACAAACCCTGAAACAAGTACAGCACCATTTAGTCCATCAGTGTGGCAAATATGATAAAAGGATATTTGATACTGGACTTACTGAGGTGGATTCTTTGGGTTTGGGAACACCAAGCATCTCTCTTGCATAAAGTGATTCCTCAAGTATTCGCTCATAACTGATGCTTACAGGAACTAAACTTATATCAAAACTTCACCTTTTAGGAAGGGATCCATGGCAATATTTAATAAACCTGCATGGCATAAAAACATAAATAAATAAATAAATGTATAATCATAACATAAAACTGTCACAGAAATTTGAGCCATACCTAATTTAGGGGTCAAGGATTTACTTGTTCGACTTCTGGTGCCTTCTAAGAAAAATTCTACTGGTGCAAGGCCATTCTGGAAGATTATAAATACAAAGTAATGCATATGTACAACAACAACAACACACAATTTTAAGTCCATGTTTTGAGGTTCACTGTTCACCTTGAGTATGGTCTTGACATACTCAGAGAACACAGCCCAGTAAAGTTTATCACCACCAAAGGACCTTCTGATGAAGAAAGCTCCAGACATCCGCAACATCTCACCAACCACCTTCATCCCCATGAAATCTGAAGGAAACCATAGCAACTGGTCAACATGGACAGACTTGGCTTAATTACCTTTCAATGTCTTTTAATTACAACATCATAGTAATTGATACACGTCTTCAGTCCGTCTCTGCTTACCCATGCCTGCAGCAATGACAGGTAGAGCGATATCATAGGTGTACAGGATGTAGGACATGAGTAGAAAGTCCATGTAACTTCTGTGACTGGGCAGGAGAACAACGGGAAGCTCCTGAATGGCCTGTTGCAGCTGAAATGCAAATAAAAAGTCAAAGATTTAAATTTAAATGTTTAGGTCAGAAAAGTATTTTGGCTTTAGTGATGTCTACTCACTCTCTGGATGCCGTCCTCGTTCACACAGATGCTCTTGAAAAGGGTTTTGAAGACTTTACTCAGGGCAAATGCAAAGAATCGGACAGTACTGAGCTGTAAGCGATGGGCCATCTCATCCATGATGCTTGACGCTTCCTCTTGAAGATCATCTCTAGTTCTACCACTCTCTTTAGAAACCTTAATTACAACATTTAAGAGCCCATGTGATCATTATAAACAAATAATTAGACAAAGTGGCTATATAAAAATGAATAAAAAATTAAATGTACCTGGTTGATAACATAATGAAGTTGATCTGACTGAAGTACCATGGCTTTCAGTGAGTTTGCATCACATGGGGTGAGGTTTTTGTAGACGGCAGGAGTGTAACATCTGAGTGCATATCGAAGGTCGCTGGACTTCCTCCTCTCCTCCAGTATGTCCTCAAACTCATCCCTCTTCTTCAGCATCGGGTCGGAGTGCTAGGACAGAAAACAGAAAATGAGAATGTCCACAACAAGTATATACACCTACTTTTCAGTATCAGCAGCTGTACTATGCATCTTTCAGTATCCATTGCTTTATTAATTATTATATAGAATGACAATAATAAAACTACAATTACATACAATTTCTTTGAAGAAAAACTGTACATTTAAGTTATGTCCACTGAAGCTAGGGCTTTAGTCTGCTAAATATATATATTTTTCATTTCCACTGGTACAAGGGGTGTGTAAAATCAAAATATCAATATTTTCTATTGTTTAATGTGATGATACAGTATCAATATCGTGGGCTGCTGTATCAATATATCGCCAAGAGTATTTTTTTGGTATAATTAACTTAATTATTTACAGCATTACAGTTTTGTTGCTTGTTCAAAGGAAGAAAACTCGTTCATGCAACACATTTGACATTTTCACTGTTTTGATTATTAAAATGGGTGTGTTTTATATTCACTTGGCACAAGAAGAGGTTTAAGAAAAACTTTTAGTATCACAGCCATGACTGGCTGATGATTTAGACTTTTTTTTATTGAAGACTTTCAAATCAATTTGAAATATGTCATATCGAATCGAAAGTGCACTGTATCAAGATACTGTATGTATTGTATCGTGGCCTATGTATCGAGGTATGTATCGTCTCAGCAACTTCTTAATGATGCCCAGCCTTAACTATATTTTTTCAATACCATATTGGTGACTTAATGACAGCCAGCAATAGGTGTACCTCTGTTTTGTTATTTTTATTCATTCACTGCCCATACTCATACTCAGTGGTGAAGAAGTGTCTCGTTTGCTGCACAATCATCACATTATTTACTAATCTGAGAAAGAACAGGGTTCGCTCCCGCACATATTGTCAATTATTCACTTACTGGGTTTCAAAATAGCTTGCATAATGATTTTGTGTATGTCAAATGTCGGCCTTGACAAAGCCTATTCAAACAAGCCTCAAAGAATGCAAACCACTGCCAGTGTCTTATCAATTGCATTCATGCAGCTGAGGGGGTCGATTCAAGAAAGGCATTTAGCGTAAAATAAGTACAACAAATCTATACACAAAGAAATGCTGAAAATAAACTACAGTGGCCTACTGTTGCGTTGCAATACACAATACTTAATGGTGTAATGTATCTAAAAGGGATCCCTGTTGAATGAAATGTCAAAAGTCAAGGCTATGCTACGTTAGCCTCAGACAGAGACAGCATACATACCGAATAAGTCGTTTTGTTTTCCATGGCTCACTTGAAGCTTTAAAAAGACACACGTAGATTTGTTAAAATTGCGTATGCACAAATCATTATTTCCCTCAGTGACAGCTGCACTCGCAAAAAAAAAACTTCACATGGGCGTGTTAAAAAGAGACTACTTCCGTGTTTTTATAGAATCTACGGTGGCTCAAATGGGTAGAACTTTAACCGCTGTTTAGCGCCACACGTGTTTGTTGTCATTCATTGTTGCATATTTTCTACTCACTTAACTACACTGTGCATAACTGAGATATGAATACGAAGGCGAACGGAAAATCGGACGAAGACTGTTTGTTTCTTGAGCAAGTGTTGGACAAACTGTATGATTTTGGTGAGTAACTTTAGCTTCCCTCACTACTGCTAACAGTTTCGGCTAACATAGTCACAGTAGTATCAACACAAACATGGACTGCTTTGCGAAAATAAAAAAATATATGTAAATAATGGCAAGTTAAATGTGCTCCTCTGCTATCTTATATTTCATCCCCAGGAACAAAAAAGAAGAAAAAGCGTAAAAGACGTGCGGATGTGAAGGAGTTTCCAGAGTCTAAAGATGATGATTCTGTCACATCCACAACCCAGCATCAGTCAGAACAAACAGGTTCAGATTACAGCAAAATCACAATGCAACTTGATTAGGGTGACCAGATTTTCAAAATTTAAAAAAATGGTTAGTAATAATAAAATTGTGAAACGATTGCGTAATTAAAGAACATTGTTATGCACTTGGCACTAATGTGAGTCAGTTTAGTCACATTTTCTTTGTGTTTTGATCATTTTAAGCAGCTTTTCTGTCTTTTACCTAAACAAGTGACAATTTATGCCTCTCTTTACTGTTGCCAAGGATCATATTGGTCAAAAATAGGGATTTTTTTTTTTTTTTTTTTAACTGGGACAAATCACGGGTTTTGGATAAGTCTGCTGGGACAGAGCTCAAAGCTGAGACTGTCCCCGGTAAATAGGGACGTCTGGTCACCCTAAGCTTGATAAACACGTGATACAATTCATTTAAAAAAATCTAATTTTAAAATCACTTTAATGTCTAAAATAATCATTTTTCTTTAGCGGTGGCACAGAAAGACCACCAGGTGGAGGTAGTGACTTTCCAGGATCCTAGAAAGAAAATAAAGACCAAACACACCTCATCTCCTGACAAAATAAAAGTAGGTATAAATAATATTGTAACTTGTAAAACTATTACTTTTATTATGTATTCAATTGTTCTATGATGTTGATGTTTATAATTTGTCTCCAGCTTCCTCAAACAAAAGACAAAAACAGTGAGCAAACAGAGGAACTTAGTTTGGAAAAGGTGAGGACAAATTTACATTATTCCTATTCTACGAGATTTACCGCAAAATTGTTGGGAAAAAAATATGATAAAATGAAAATATTGTTTAGGCCCGATTAGAAGTTCATCGATTTGGCATCACAGGCTACAAGAAAGAGCAGCAGCGAGTATTTGAGCAGGACAGAGCTATTATGCTGGGGGCTCGTGTAAGTCTGTCAATTGCATATATAGTAAATTTTTTTGTATTTTTGTATGTCAAATCTACATTTCCTATATTTCTGTTTTGCAGCCACCAAAAAAGCAGTATGTCAACTACAAACAACTACAACAACAAATCAAAGAGAAAAAACAAAAAGAAAAGGAGGAGGTTGACCCGGTAAGGCCTATGCACCTTTTAGAAGTCTGTAATGACACTGTGGTTCTTCTTATTACTCTTTGATATATTCTGTCTGTTTGATTATTTGCTTTTTTAGGAATTAAAGACAAAGAAGAAAAAGAAGAATAATCCCAAGTGAGTAACTTTCTTTACTCCATAATAATTATTTTCCTTACCATTTAAAAATCACTTTCTCAGCTGGACTGTGTCTGTTTTCATTAGGGATAAAAAGAAGCAGTCCACATCTGGGTCTGGTTCAGGGCCCTCAGGACAAGTGGGGCGATTCAAAAATGGCATGTTGATCCTCAGCACCAAAGAAATCCAGAAGATTAAAGGAACAAAAGGACAAAGATAGGTATGTATTCTCTCAAGTACTTTTACTGCTCTGCTTTGTTATTTTCTGTGATGAGACTGGCTATGTTTTATCATTTATTTTACTTGCACTGAAAGTATCGTGATTACAGCCCTTCTCACATTTTCGTGAATACAAAGTTGGAGACACTTTCTAGGGAAATTGCTGAGCTTAGAGCTGGCACAAGTCCCAGAGTAGAATTATTGATAGAGACAATGGATAAAGTAATAGTGTAACTGTGACCTCTTAAAAGCAACAGGGCCGATGAATGCCATATAACTCATTTTGATAGTGTAATAATAATTACTGTTTTATTTTTCCTTCTTCTCCTTTACAGTCATTTATTGGCTATAGTTGGTTGCATTTTTTTTCTTTTTTTTTGTCGTACAGCTCTCTGGGAACTTGCATGGACTTCTTATCAGGATCCTAATGAACTTATGCAGGAAGTTTGCATTTGGAAATATCAGAGCTGTGAGCTGTATGCAGAAATTCAAGATCTGTGCCTGTTCTAGCAACACAGTGAATCACCTAGTGACAGTTTTACTCCTGAGGAACTGCTGACACAGGATCCAGCCTGCGGCTCCCAGATGGATTATTGAGTAAAAATGTAAAGACTCTTCTGGTTTTTATTCATCACAGTTTATTTATTTTCTTTTATAAATTAACAAAAAAGACAATTGCATTTTCTTGTGTAAAGGTTTTTCTAAATGATGCGATTACAATGCATTTCTTGTACAAAACATGTCATACAAAACTTTTACATTTAGAAGGGAGGAGAAATATCACATACAATGAGGAAACAGTATTTACAGCACCAAGAAGAAGCCCCAGTTATATTTTTAACAAAACAAAAAACTGACAGTTTAGTTGCAACAGAATACAAAAACATAATTTATGGCAGTGTGAAGCAGACAATGTCAAAATCTCACACCATGTAAATAAAGCAGCTTTAAACAAGAAGATATGCAAGTTGTAATATAATCTGATGACAACTATATTAGACAGTTAAATACACAACAAATCAAAGGTAAATATAAAACAAAATAAACATGACTTTGTTCTTAAATATATTTACAATCTGTCAACATAAATAAATCATACAGTATTTCCCTATGCTGTTTTAATACAAGAGCAGTGCTATGCTATTTTCCCAGCATTGTATTTTTTGTTGTATTTCACATTCATGGGTGGGTAGGTGGACAGACAGTCTTGTATCCCCATGTTACTTTCCTGCATGAAATGAATTAGCTGTGTAATTATGATGTCATACGTGTGCACCTTCAGGGTCCGATCATATGATGGGATATTCTTTTGAAAGAAATGTGTTAAATGAAATGCCCAAACAACTGCACACTCAGAGGTAGATGGTCCAAGAAAGTAAAATGTTACTATTGGATTTCAAGATGTTTTTTTAAGATACCATCTTATGTCTTATTTTTAGCAGGAAACAAGAAAGATAACATGGAGAAACTGGTGTTTTTTGTTCTGGGACATGCCAAGTACTCATAAGACCACATGAAAAGAGGAGAGACTTATCACCTTAAGGATATGATGGCGGATGTATTTTGATAGTTTGTATATTAATGCCGTATTTAACATAAATTCCCCAATAAACCTGACATAAGTTTCTCCAACACTAAATCAAAACTGACCCACAGAGGCAAGCAATTCTTAAATGACAACCTGCTGTCAAACCAAGATGTCTCACTATACCTATGGACCAGGATCTAAAATCATGGTTGACCCAATGGCTGGATTGTCTGTTGATGTGGGGAGGGTCAGAAAAGTACAGTGCGGCGAGAATTAGCCCTTTGGTGGTATCTATCGACCCAGGGAGTGTAAAAATCTCCTTGGTGGTCAGATAGGGAGAGGTCAGGGGAGATCTGGTTTTATATTTCACTGTAAGGCTGCATCCAGGGAGAAGGAAAACCACATTAATGCTCCTACTTTATGCTTTAATCATGCACCTTCAGTATAAAGGAAATGTTATAATTATTGAGAATAAATGATAAACATCTGCCTATTGTGGTCATAACGTACCTGATCTGTATGGTTTTAGGAATGCGTTTACTTAATACAGTTAATAATTTCTTCTAGGTCCCTGTTTTATAGTCACTATATCAGCACAGATGGATAAAACATTCTTGGTAATGGCTTTGGACAAATAAAAATAAATCCCATTTTATGTGAAATGCCAGGATCTAATTAAAATTTCTGATAAAACCTTTACTAAAAGGTCTGAAATATAATACAAAATTAATACATACAGTATATAATTCTATCTAGTGCTACATTAATATTGATAATAAATATAATATTTTGATAAATAACATATATAAATAAATCATTATGAAGTAGCTATCAACTGACAATAACCTCAAGAAAAGATCTGCATCTTTGATATTAACATATTTCAAATGGAAAATTATTATGAATAGCTTTTACTCTGTAAACTATTGATTCTTTCCCTGATAAAACATCATTATGAGAGATTTCTTATCAGATATTGTATAAAGAGGAATGAATTTGTTGATTCTGTAGTTTTGTCTTCAAACCATAGGGGGAGTGCTGCCACAACTAAATTATAATACATTATTTACAGTTCAATTTTGATCTTTTGTAAACATGTTTGATGCTCAACCCATGCTTGAGACCACACATTATTAATCCAGCAATTAGCACTGACATGGTAAGTCTCACATCTAATGCCTTTGCACTTTTAGACACATTTTGATCTGTATGTACATAATAAATATTGTCTCGGTCACAGTGTTTTGGTAGGTGTTGCAGCTTAGGTCCTTTCTAGGCCACCGTAGCTTTACCTGAAGTGATCTTGTTCTGTACAGAAGATGCCAGGCGTCTTCATAGAGACTGATAAATGAGGGCATTAAATAGTCACTGTGAGACAGACAACTGACTTCTCTACTTTATACATAAGAGTCTGGCTCCTCATTATCATCCAATCACAACTTTTCACTTTTTTAATATTTCCTTTATATGCTGCTGTCAGACTTCTAAAAAAATTGTCGGAACAAGTCATCAATAAAGTCATTCTTCAACAACTGTAAAATGGCTTAGGCAATTTTTAACTAAGACATTTGCAATTCATTGTTTAAAGTTGTATTATGTCACTTTGTTGTGTTGGTAGCACCACCTGCACTACTAGAAAACAGAGCGCACCTTTAATTTAGCAATTCACTATGTAATAATAATTTAAAGACATAACTGAGACCATAAATTTCTATTGTTTCACACAAGAGTAGCCTCAAGACCTGTGTGTCCTGGTTTAAGAGCATCAGGTTTGTATGCATGCCCCCACAGTGTAACACAATTCAAGCATAATTAACATCTTAATCCTGTATGTATTTGACACTGCACAGCCTTACCCTCACATGCTGTGTGCAATAGTTATGTAAACATTTTAGGTCTTAAACATTGGCTGCCTGTCACTTCACTTAGGATCAAACACACACTGAAAAGGGGAACAAACAAAGCAGTGGTGTTGGAGTTTGCTCTTAAATATTTGATGAGTGAATCGACTCGAGCGCTGCTACAACTTCTACGAGGATGTCTATTGGTTTTTGCTCTTCTCAGTTGTAAACAGGTGTACAAGGGAAACAATGTTAGATTTCTATTCTCTTCAAGCACCTTTGAGATTATACATTTTTAAAGGCTTTAGGCATCCCTTACTGGAGATTCTTCTTGGTATCTTTGCAGTCATGATTGTTAGTAGTGCTATGCAAAGACTAGCCATTACAGTGTGAAGCTAGCATGTAAAAATGTTATAAATTGTTTTTAGTTGTTCTTTAAATTGTTTTGTGGAAATTTCCTTTTAATAATACAAACAAATTACTAAAATAACATTGCAGAGCCAGTACTGCAAGATATTCTGTAAACTTCAGAGGATTTATCCCTGAACTAGGATTAGATTTAAGATTGACAGTTCAGAGCACTTTGTATCATGGCAAGATTGATTTTGTAGTATTGATACTTTGCAGTGACATCATGCTGGGGTGGTCTAAATGTATCTCTATTGGCCAAATGTTCAACAGTTACCATGGTGACACAATCCACACATTAGCAAAAACTGCCAAGAAAAAATACAAAATTGATTTAAACAACACTTTCATTGTTTGATTTTCAACAAAAGGTGAGAGTGACTTGCAAACTTGTGACTGTAATTTTCTGTGTGATGGACTTGCCCGTTGTAGTTCCAACCAAGTCTGCTCTTTCTGGTCAGATTGTATTAAAATAAAGCTCAAATTAAGTCTAACTTGAGTAACAGAGCTTCAGACAGAGCAGTGCTTTCACTTAGCTTCACACATCCAGGGAATGTTGAAGACATTGGCTGCAAAGTATCAGTTTAAACCCCAGTGATTATCTGCAAAGTCCAAATACAACACAACTCCAAACATATTTTTTGTCAATGGAGTTATTCCCTTTCGAATCCTGTTTGGGTCGTACAATGATAAAGGTCCATGCAGTGTGTAATTCAACCGTTTCTCCAGCTGCAGAGGTGTTGAGTATGCACAGTAGAGGGCACCTTGAGTCGTTTTGGAGGATGTGAAACAAGAGAGAATCCCGGTACAGGACAGGACAGGATGGGACGGCACCGTGTAGTGGGGGACTGTGGCTATACGGGACATCTGTGTAGTTTGTATTCCTAAGAGGATTTTACTGTTTAAAATTCTTTGGCAGCTCGAGCCCCGTCAGTAAGGTCACCTGGAGCGGACAAACACAGGGAATACTCAATGAGATCATTTCTAGACAGACAGAGCAGAGGACAGACTGAGGAGTTATTGAGAATATAAGGGAGATACATGAAGAGTGGCAAGGGACAGACTTTGACTTTGGATTTAATGGACACATGTAAATAATTCATAAGTTATTGAATTCTTGGTACAGTATATGAATAAATAAAGCTGCTTGAGTAAATTCAATGACGGAAGACTAAAATGTAATTAATGTTGCCTAGCAAATTCAGAATGATGTCTCTCTGTATTTTATTTTTATACAGATTGAAGAAACACATCAAAATCAATTTTTTCTCACTCAGATTAAGAGAAATTAGTGCTTCACTCATTGATTTGGGAGAAATAGGTGATGTTCCATTTGATTTTAGATTTTTTTTTTTACTTTACTTTTTTCAGATATGGAGAGACAATGTGTGTCCCTGAATCAGTCACACCCATCTGAAAAAACCAGACTCACATTTGTACATGTACAAATGCTGACTTTATTCTGACAGTCTACTTCTACTGCAATTTTTAGTCTATGCTTTGACTTTAAGATGAAAAATAGTAGTAGTAGTAGTAGTAGTAGTATTAGTAGTAGTAGTAGTAGTAGTAGTATAGTAGTAGTTGTAGAGTAGTAGTACAAACAAGTAAAGGTTTAAGTAACATTGTTTGTATAACTAGGCCATCTTATGCTAACCATAACTGTTAGTTATAGTTGTTTCGACTTGTGACTGACCTGTACGTTTCTGTTGAGGCTGACAGCGGGCACGAAGACCCCGTCCAGGTTTTCAAAGGCAGTTGGTCCGTGCTGTTCTTTGTTGATATAGAAGGTCAGTGTACGTTTGACCAGATCCAACAGCACCCCGACTGTAGCACCCTTACTGATGCCCCCCTCCGCCCTGAAAATACACAAAAACTACTCAGTTTTTATTGACCTAAAAACATGCATTCTTACTGTGAGTGGGCTCGCCTCTCCGCAGACCTGGCACTGTGGTGTCACCTGCGGTCTCCGTTGAGATAAATAAGTGTAATGCCATACTATGGAACATTCCAGGCAGTATCTACAGGGAGAGAAGCCAGGACCCGCCACCAAAAAAGTTACACAGTGCACCTTTAATAAAAATCTAACCTTATCTAACAGCTACTGTGAATGACATAACATATAAACTTTAAATGTCAAGTTGAACTAAAATTTTTACATTTTGCACAGTTGTCATTCAAAAAGGGCAACATTTTGGATTCACAGGCATCTTGATAGTTTCTCTGAGTGGGTTTGAAGTACTGTGCAGCCTGCAGTCTGTTCCCTGTTGAGTTTGTTCTGGGTTTGTACAAACTCCAGGGGTCCTTCTGTCATCTTGTTTTGATCTTATATCATGGCACGTGAGAGTGGTTCTTTTTTTACCCCGTGATCTGAGGCTTTATTCACACAGAGATGAGCGTACAGAAGCGCCTCACAAACTCCATCTCCTACTGTTCAGAATGTCATACTGTTGTTCTTTGTTAAGGATCAAAACATACTTTCAGCACATAACTCACACACTATGAAGCACCCAGCTGTTTCAAATGACCTATTTATGGAAATGTAGGTTTTATTTGGCAACACATTCTTCACATTCTTATTATTAAAACATTTCTCAAAGTAGGCTACGTGTTTAAATCTAAATTTTGGCATCTTGCGTGTTCAGAGCTAATCCTGGGTTTCACCTTCTTTTTATATGCAATATTTTGAAGACTTTTTTTCCTATTCCAAAGATATAATACTGGTATATATTTTGAAGCTGGTAATTGCTGTGGTAATGTGGTAATTTTTCATCATTCTGAAGCCCATGAATACAATGTCCAAATATTAAAGGGCCAATATTTTGCTATTTTCTAATCTATGTCATAAAGTATAATGTCAGCAACACACCTGGAAATTTGTTTTGCTTCATTCACACAAAGCCTGCACATTTAGGCTGTGTTCGTCTCTCAAACAGAAAACACAGGAAGTGCTCCACTGTGTTTTTAAACTCCATGCACCTTCACTAAAATAATTTGGATAATTTCAGCCCTAGAATTTCTAGTCTCTAAACAAAAGATAAAAGGTAGCTGTTAACTTGGAAACTAGTGAGTCATGACATCACAAGGTGGAACAGAGCATTTTGAACTTTGGAGACAGACAGACGAACAATAAAAGGTTACTCAAAAATATGTGAATGAAACAATACACTATTCTAGGTATGTTTTTGATGAGGCAACAGGATTATAACATGTCTTAAAGCTCACAAGAATCATTTTTTTGCAATATGGGACCTTTAAACATAAAAATAACACATAGAAATATACAGTCAAGTATATATGACCTGAGCCGGAAAGTCGACTTCCGCAATAGTGCACATATCTAGATGCTTCTCTTTTATATATTAAAAAAATAAAAATAAATTAAAGATATTATTAAATCCATTTGAATTGGTACCTGTTGGTGTGTGAGTTGTTGTGCATGAACCAGGAGCGGTTGTTGTCCACGTACATGGCCCAGGCCTTGTCGTCTTTTCCTAACATCATGTCTTTCATTGTGTTGATCCTCGCAACCCCAAACGCAGGGTCGGGGTGGTTGTCATAGCGATCGATGGTCACCTCCCAGTAGTGTACGCCCTGAGGTTACAACATAACACATTTCATTCATCCAGTGAGAATAACACAGTGTCAGATATACAAAGTGTAGGAATAATGATACTCCTCCAAAAGGGCAGCACCTCCATGTACTGCGTATGTGAAAGTAATGGTTTCAGTACCTTGGAGAAAGCAGCGGTCCCCAGAACCACGCGATCGTCGTAGCTGCTGCAGGTCACAGTCTGGTTTTCATTGGTGAGAACGATGTCGCGGTGAGCAGAGGTGGGGTCAAAGGTGAACCAGGCCACTGAAAAATGAAAGAAGAGAAAAAAGAAAGAAGAACACACACTTCATATAGAAGCAATATAATTTATAGCACATTATATATACAAGTTAAATTCATTCATTCATGTTGTTTCCTCATCATAAACATACCTGGAATTGTGTTTTGTTTCATTCACAAAACACAAAACACAACTCCAGATGTGTTTTTGAGGAGGTAACAACATTATACTATGACTTAAAGCTCACAAGAATCCATTTTGTGTAATATAGGCCCTTTAAACTTCTAACCTGAAGTGCAACACAAGTAAAATAAATAAAAAGGTACTAACAATGAAATACAGTTGCAGTGATTGCATCTTTACCATTAGTTAAATGATTGTTTTGGATGTGGCGTGTTATTGGCTGTGTGACAAGGGCAGAGCATTTCAAACTCATTAGATATAGGAATTTGTTCTGCCTAAATGCACATCTGTTTCATTTAATCTTTATTGCATCTTCTTATGTGCTTTTTAGGGACATCTTTTCTAAAATGACAATAAAATACAGCATTATAAATGTTTTAACACAGTCTTCCTTAATAATGGCTATACAAATGGAGATACACAATTGTAGAATTCATTATTATTATTACACTAAACAAGTTACTCTTTTGTTTTTAACCATAGCTTTATATTGCCTTCAAAGCTATTGGGAGACTATGTTGAATGTGAGTCATTCTCTGAGCACACATTACATGAGCAGTGCGTGCAGAGTGGAGGAAGAACAGTTATCAGCCACACAACAGACTGTGCTGTCCATTGTTCTGAGGGCTGCCACTGAGTAATGAACATGAAGACTCCTCCTCTCCTTGTCCCACTCTGAATACAGATGATTTTGTCACTGTCCCATTTAACTCCTTTTTATATTATTCCCATTTAAGTTCAAATACGTTTTCTCATCCTACCACCCTTTATCTTGCCTTATTTCTTCCTGTATTCATCTGTTAAAACCCAACTTTATGACTATGAGACTATAATGGAGCTCAACAGTGACTATTAAGAGTTCAAAACCATCATTGAGGCTAAAAATTAAGGCTAAAAAACTCACTATTTAGCTCCATAGATTTAAAATTGGATCACATAGACCAATCTTCATCACCACTGACCATTGAAGACTTTCACTTTATAATCTGATAATTACTTATACTTGAACATAAATGAAATATCTTTACCAAGCATGACTGCACATACCATCGGAGGTCTTGAGCACCACGGTCTTGCTGTAGGGCCCCACTCCGATGGCGTTGTAGGCTTTTACTCTAGCATTGTAAGAGCTGTTAAAGTGCAGTCCATCTACTGTGCACACGGTCTCCTTCCCCACATACACCTCCTGAGGACACCATTATAGACAGAGACAAAAAAAAACTTACTGGTATGAATTAGATGTATGCACTTGTACAGTATAGTAAACATAAAGTGAAAAGTACAGAAAGAGAGTAGCAGTAGCCTGGACACCCATATAGCAAGAATCATACACATTCACATTCGAATTACAGTTGAGAGCATATTTTCTTGAGTGCAATTTATTAGTATTTTAAAAGTTATTATATGGTGTATGCTCTTATATGTATGTTGCTCCATCCATTTTCTTCCACTTATCTGGGGCCAGGTTGCGGGGGCAGCAGTCTACGAAGGGACTCCCAGATTTCCTTCACCCCAGACACTTCCTTCAGCTCCTCCAGGGGGGTCCTCAAGGCATTCCCAGGCCAGCTGAGAGACATAATCCCTCCAGCGTGTCCAGGGTCTTCCCCGAGGTGTCCTACCGGTGGGACATGCCCAGAACACCTTTCCAGGGAGACATCCAGGAGGCATCTGGTACAGATGCCCGAGCCACCTGAGCTGCTCCGCTCAATGTGGAGGAGCAACAGCTCTACTCTGAGCTCTTCCAGTGTGACTGAGCTTCTTACCCTATCTCTAAGGGAGTACCCAGCCACCCTGCAGAGGACACTCATTTTGACTGCTTGTCTTTTCAGTCACTGCCCAAAGCTCATAATAGGTGAGGGTAGGAATTTAGACTGACCGGTAAATCGAGAGCTTTGCCTTTTGGCTCTGCTCCCTCTTCACGGGAGCAGTCCAATACAGCGACTGCATCACTGTCGACACTGCACCAATCCACCTGTCCATCTCACTCTCCATCCTCCCCCTCACTCGTGAACAAGACCCCGAGATACTTCAACTCTTCCACTTGAGGCAAGGACTCTCCACCCACCCAGAGAGGGCAAGTCACCTTTTTCTGGTCGAGATGTAGGCGATGTATGTTGCTCTGTATGTTAATGTTTGGGTCTGGACAAAGAATAGGTATATTCATAACTAATAAGTAAATAATCAAATAACATTATGTAGAAAAGTTTCTGTCAAAGGGTCTGCAACCTGTTTGTCTCCAAGGAAATGTAGTTGCTTTCTGGAATGTTCCACTGTATGGCTTTAAAAATTATCTTGGAATAAAAGCAAGATAAACATGTTTAATTCCATAAATTCAATAACCTCTCCATGGACAAGTGGGCTCAAAATGTTATCTAGTGCACCTTTAATTGATTTGTAAAGTAATGTGTAATACTATTCATACTAACCCTGTATTGTCCTCCACTTCCATCATCCAGCTCCAGGATGTAACCTTCGATAGGATTCCCAGTGGGCACAGTGACTCTCCAGGCCAGAGTGGCGCTGTTGTTCCTGGTGCAACACTTCTCCAGCTGCAGCAGAGGGGCCGCCGGTACCGAGGGCCCTGCCTCTACTGTTGGCAAGAGATAATCGATTCAACACATTGATCAAGGAGATAGGAGTTAGGGGAGTAGGGTACACGAAAGGGGTATATTAAGGAAGCACCAAAGGAAGGATCTACAGAGGTCTCTTGACAACAAAGGAAGTCAGAAAAGTGCTTTAATGTAGGTCTATGGAGAGATAAGAAACACCCTAAAGGTGAATACGCTTTGGGTTCACTGACAGGGCAACAGAGGCTGTACAGCATTTTAGTCAGCCCAAAAAGACCTCATTTGGGAATAGGCTCTAGTATTTTTCCTGTGACTATTTTGTTAATCTTCCATAACCTCCCCCAAAATGTGTTTAGTGTCTTTTAGGATTTGACATACAGTTCAGTGGGATGGTGCTTACATCCGTTTTAAGAGACACAAGTAAGCTTTAAGCAGGAGGGATTATAAACATATTTTTAGCTGACAAAGGTTACCATGGAGCTAGAAGCAGTGGAAAGCATTTAAGCATTTCTTAAAGGTTTATTCAGTGACATTTTGGCTGCATGATTGCATAACATTATCAAGCAAATTTCTTTTTTTTTTAAACAGTATAAGACAATTTGCATGTTTTGATAAAGTTCAGTTCTATATTGGACAAGACATACATTAAAATGCAACCCAAAGACATGGACCACAAAAACAAGATAATATTCAGTGACAAGAGGACACACAAAATACAGGCTGCAGTCAAGGAGAAATTGTGAGACACAGTTCGGTTCTATATTTGTAGCCCAAAGTAATTCTCTGATAGCTCTGATTATGTGATCCTATTTTTTCATTAGTTTTGACCAGGTCTTGATGTTGATAAGTGCAATATACATATACATTAGTTGTGTGCAATGATTCAATGATTGAGATCTTTTTTCATGGGTTCAACTTCCTCTTTATAGTCTCCATTTTGAGGACTTTTCACCATTTAAGAGAAATATAAACCCATGGACTGATGATTGATCAAAAATGTCCCATGACCAACCATTCACATAAAGAATTTAGTAATTTAATGCGAAATTCTCACAAATTGCTCTGTGCAAATTTCATGTTTCAGTTCCAAATGTTTTGTATGTTACATGGATATTTACTGTACATGAGAAGTACTGAAGGCTACAAAAAACAAGTACAATACAATCTATACAGTATATAACGCATTTATCAGTGTTGACTTATAAGGACTTGGACACATCGACCATGCAGAGGAGGTGAACTGAGAACTAGTGAGTTTCTGAGGCTGAACCGGGACTGACAAAGGAGCAGGAGTGAAGGGGTCAGCTGGAGGAGTGAATATACAAGGGTTTTTCTTTTCTTTTTTTTTACTGTGAAATAAACGTTCTGGTAATACCTTCTGGACACTCTGCCTCCTCCATCTCCTCTGCCTCACCACTGTCTGCTGCCTGCAACTGTTTCAATAATGGGCTCTCCTCCAACACATCTGCAAACGCCACGCGGGTTTGAGCATTTCAGTACAAGATTACACGGCCACAAGACAGGCTAACTACGGCGGTGCCACTCAAGCGTAATGGGATTGCAAAGGGAATATGGTGAGAAGTCATCATGTAGAGAAAAAACTAATCTAAAAGGACACTAAGGCAAGATTTAAGCAGTTTTATTCCAGCTAAGCCCTGGGAATAGCTAAATGATTGGCATATTGGTATAGAATAAAATCTGCAATGCATTTGTAGTAGCAGACATGTTTTGTTATGGGTGCCATTCAAGAGTTTGATCAGATTAACCCGTCAGTCTCTTTTGTGTCAGGCAGAGCTGGTGTACAAACTCATAGCAGGCTTTGTGATGTGGCGCTGATTTCATTAAAGTCTTTCTCTGCTATCTATAGAAATCAAAATGAGAGCTTTGGACTTGAGAGATTGTGTCAAGTACATTTTATATTATATTCGTGAGGGGAATGTTGAGTGATACATGACTAGAGAATGTAATCCTAAAAGGGCCCATATTACACTATTTTCTGATACATGTTACAATTTTGTATGAGTTGTGTTTTGTTTTGGGTATGGTTTTGATGAGATAACAATATTATAACATGGCTTAAAGCTCCCAAGGTGTAATACAGGACCTCTAATATCTCTTATATATAAATCCCTGCATCTGATCCGTCACAACCATCCATGTTCACAATAAACACTGTTTTCCCGTTTATAATTATTAGCAATTTAAATGTTTTTGGTAGACACATTGTTCTAATTTCAAGATTTCTAAGCTGTATTGATAAAGTGACTGCATTTTGGTCAGTTCTTACAAAAGTATTTTCTACCATTGCCGAGACTTGAGATTAATCTAACTGCACTTCTTAATAATCAGGGATGTAACAATAATCAAAATATCGTGATACCGTATCATCAAAAGTCTTACAATAATATCGTGGGCACAAGTTTCTTTATTTAAATGCATGGTTTTATAGTAGCAACAGCTAATAAACATTGGGAACTACATATCCCATGATTCATTTCAGTGCAGACAACACATGTTTTTTACTTGAATTCTTGGGATTATGACGGTAATAATTCACATCAAAATCTTTTCAAGGTATTTTAAAAGCAAAAAAGAGTCCCATCTACAATTATATTAGCCTCTTCAGAATATCTCAATAAATATCGTACTGAGAGTCCCATATCGTGTTAATATCGTACAGTGAGATTTGGATAACGTTACATCCCTATTAATAATGTACCATAATACCAATTAGTACTATACTGTAATAACTGTAACTATGAGGGACAAAAGTCATACTCCACTGTTCTGTGTGAGCTCAATGCAGAGACATAAGAAAAAGAGTATGCCCTTACAGAACAATGGATCAAAGCCACGGTGCCTCTTATGGGAAATTACATAAAGACACTTCCACAGCTGAGCCACTCTTCATCTTTACCTCTATTATTAAAGCCATACACACAGTTTATACTCTTCTATGTGATGGATTTCCTTCTTACAACACAGCAATACTCTATAATTCATATTAATATACAGTATCCCAAGCCTAATAGTAACCGCTACATATTATTGTATATTGTTTGCAGAAAATCCGCATTTTATTATTGCAATTTGCTGTCTCCATGGAAACAGTATAGAAATATGAAATATGCATCCAGATGATATTAAATTAAGTGCAGATTATCACTTCCTCTGATCGGTTACCCAGAGGAGTAGAAAGCAAATGCCAATAGGAACTAATTAATCTTGTGTGGTAGCAGTAGTATTTCCAATTAGCCTACATATAGCAGCATATAGAAATTTATAAGTAAAAGAATCTTATAAATAAAAGAATCTTCATCTAAATTTTGTCAAAATCATTTATCTTTTTCCCAACACTAACAGTATTTTTTTTATTTTGTAGCTACAATAACCAACAATTACTTTTGAACAGATTACAGTCCATTTCAAATATGTATGTTTCATCAAATTGTCTATAGTATTATGAAAATAAATAGAAGATTTTGATGATGTGTGATTAATGTTGGTAATAAAATTAATGTAAAACTAAAACCTTTTAATCTTAATCCATTTTGAGTCTGTAAATTCTTCAAGTTATTGCCACAGTAAATAACACAGACCTAATGGGAATAATACATGCATATGCTGTTGCTTTACCTTTGCCCTGGCAGAAGTCCAGCTGCAAAATGGTCTGGAGCAGGGCGTCTGTGTTGAGGCTGAGGTCAAACTCTGGGGCCACTTTAGGCTCCAGGGCCCCTTTAACCCACTGGTCCTGGGACGAAGACACGCGCTTGATCAACGCATCGGAGATCTGCAGACAACAACACGGAAATCAATACCTCAAGATCACCTTTTAGAGCCCATGGATCAATGTGCACTTAGATTTTTATGTGGTTTATTTATTCGTTTTGGATAGCACAGCATTATACATTATTTAAAATTATTACAAGATTTTCTTTTGCAATGTGTGTGGATACAAATATTTCAATTTAATGGTTTTAAAAGAAATCAGTGGGGTCATTACCTCTCATTCAAAACATTTTATGAATTCAGAAACTTAAAGTGCGTTATGCTGCTTGTCTCCTTGGAGATGTTGCTGCTTTGCCAGGAATTTGACACAGTATTACAGTAAACATGGAGAAGAAACAATAGCACCACTAGGCCAAGTTACCTGTCAGATCTGTGGAAAGGGGACCCCACTCAGAGAAACAAATCCATACTACTGATGTATTTTTGAACAATATAAACACACTTAAATTAATGCAATGATTCCTACAATACTGAGGAACATTTCCAATATCATATCTTATCTTTTTCTATGAATTTTGTTTTGTGCAAAACCAAAACAAACATGTAATATAAATAAACATGTGCAGGCCTGGATGAGAGTATAATGAGTCATAGCAAAGCACGTAATCAATAGTTCATGAAATATTCAGATGAGATGGAGCAGCTGTGTGTCCCTGAGGAGTGTCTGTGATGTCTTTCTCTCCTCTGTGTGTACAGGAAGTCCAGTCTCTCATTACTGCAATCACATACTATACTTACTTCATGTGAATACGACGGCTTTAGTCTATTCAGTACAAAAGATTTTAATACTACTTTTAATTAATCTAAGAAAATGAGATAGACAAAAGTCCAAATTGTATCTCTATAAGTGATCAAACTATATGTATCTCACTTTTATATCACAATAAAAATACAGAAATTCATCAGGCATCAGGGATTGCATACTTTGTGTTGTGTAATTTGTGTATGTGTGCATGATTGTTATAAAATGAGTCATCTAACTATTGATACTTTGGGGTGCGATGCTAACAGTAGGCTCTGGTCTGTCTAAGGATCTGTTACTTTAATCTGATCTTTATTTTAACACAATCCGACCATAAAGAACTGAACACTCATATTGATTGCAGGCTCCAGAAAATGAGTTGTTTAAATCCATTTTGTATTTTTGAGTTTTTGTTGAGAGTGTTCGATCATTTGTGCATTATGTCACCACAGTAACTCCTAAACATTCCACCACAGAGATACAGGTAGAACACCTGACTCAATAGGAGAAATAATACTAAAATTTGAGCCTAGATAAACTTGCTTGAATCCTTATTTGGCACAGCCCATTTGAGCAGGTGCATGTCACATCTGCCTGACCTCAGGCTCCACTGATCTATAAGTATTGATGAGTTATTGATCTTTAGGGGCTGCTCATAGCTCGACTTGTCAGTGCATTTACAACAGTACTTAACTTCAAATTTTCTGATTCGGGTCAAATGTCAACACCACCAACACCATCTGTGAATCTGACTTTCATTTGTGGTTGTGAACAAAGGAACAAAGGATACTGTCCAATATACATTGGTTTTAGGAATGTAACAATACCCGAAATATCGTGATATTGTATCGTCAAAAGTCTCACAATAATATCGTGGGCCATCACAATATATCGAATTACAAGTTCTTTTGCTTAAATTCATGGTTTTATAGTAGCAACAGCTTATAAACATCAGAAACTACATATCCCATGATTAATTTCAGTGTAAACAACATGAAGAAATATGTTTTTTACTTGAATTCTTGGGATTATGATGGAAATAATTCACACCAAAACCTTATCAGGGTATTTTAAAAGCAAAAAGGTTTCCTATCTACAATTATATTAGCCTCTCCAAAATATCCCAACAAATATCATACTATGAGATGCATATGATGATAATATTGTACCGAGAGATTTGGATATCGCTACATCCCTAATTGGTTTAGATCTAGCGTTATACAAAATAAAAAAAATCATATTTTTAATATATCATAGCATTTATTTGAAGCATTAAAAGAGTGGATCTTTAAAATACATGTTGATTTTAATGCTATGGATGAATAATAACAATATAATTTCTTTTTTGTTGAGAAAATCTAATTATAACATTTTAGACAATACTCAAAAGATGCATTTAGTGTAGCATTATAGCCCATTTATACTGAGTTACCTGTAGGAATCCACTGGGGTCATTCTCTTTCAGGACCTCCAGGCAGTACTCCATCATCCCAGTGGTCTGTCGCAGCTTCATGGTGCAGTGAGTGATCTGGTCTCTAACCACCTAAAGCACAAAACAGGACGCATTTATGTTAGCAATAAAGCCAAAACACAATGTCCAGAGTAACACAAAAACAACAGGATTAACTGTAACCTACTGCTGAAAAATGAGCATGAAACACAAATGAGACAAAAGACGCTAGGGATGTTTTATGCCAATACCTTACCAGATGTTAGCATGTAAAATAAATAATATTTTTTGTGCTAGCTGAGCTCTACTTTTGAATCTTCTTTTTCCTTTTTCCCTGATGAGACACTGCAGTATTGGATTTGGATAGATGTCAGAGCAAGTCATTCAAGGCTAATTGAAATCCAGTGAAGCGTCTTATCTGTCTATAGGCCTGTTATTTTACCTGGGATACCATATATTAGCAATTAGCACTTTACTTGCAGAGAATGCTAATGAAAAATCCGCATGTTTATAATAGGCTACTACATGTAAAGTGATAGGCACGAGAGTGGAGATAAAATGCACTGACACTGTGTAAATTAATTATAGCATTAACCTATGGCTGCCTAAATGATTCAGAACGCTAATGAGATGGAGTCCTGGTAATTACTGCTTTAGTTTACTCAATGGTTAATGAGATAGCACGGTTAATTATTCAGCTGTCAACTACTGTCTATACACAATCTGCAGATGAAAATGATAAAGTATATTAGTACACAGCAGTGGTGGTAGACGTACATAAAGGTGCATTATGTGACTTTTTGATTAGGGGTCTGTCACATGTGTGTTTCTATGGATATGTCATTGGAATGCTCCACAGTATGACATTAAACAGCTCTACCTCATATTTATTCAATTACAGGTAATTTTATGGCTCAAATAAAGAAAAACAAGCATTCTGACTGGGAGCGGGGCTGCCTCTCCACAAATCTGACCTGAAACTTGGTCTGGTTTGGTCTCCATGGAGATAGAAAGATGTAATAATATTTCAGACAAAGTAATAACACTAAATTAAAATGGTTTCAATTCAGATAAGTATAGAAAGTAATTTTCCAGGTCCAGTTGTTCCCTTTTTGAAATAATATTTGTGTCATGTATTTATAAATGTACAAAATTACTAAATAATAATACTTCAAATTTGGAGACTGAAAGATGCTTTGTGAACAAGAAAACACACACACACAAAACAATTTACGGTACACACAAATGTGCTTAAGGGTGAACTGTGCCCTTTTTCTAGTGAAAGGCCCACTGCCTGCTTGTCTCCATGGAGATGTTATTGCTTTCCCTGGAATGTTCCATGGTATGACATTAAACATTTCCATCTAACATTTATTCATACAGGTGTTTCTATAGTTCAAATACATATGTTTCTTCTGTGAATAGAGGCGACTCTAACAGATCTGATTTGCAATGTAACGTAGTGCTGTAACCCGTTTGTCTCCCTCGTGATAAGAAGGTTTAATGTGTACTTTGGAATATTCTACACAAAACAATAACAAACCAATTTCCATGGAGATGAGCAAGTACCGGACCCTCCACCAGAAAAAGTTGCGCAGTGCGTCTTTAAGTAGAAGCTGATAGGAAGCTATAGCTATTATCTATGACTGGGTGAGAGCCAAATATCATTAATTTAGTCCATAGAGCAGCACAGGCGAGCATAAGGACAAGACAGCTCTGTATGAATGGGCCCTGTGCAGACTGCAGCATGTGATCCGTGGGAGGAGAGAGAACAGGAGCCAGAGCCGGAAGCCCTGATGTGACAGACAGAGACACTGCCAACACTCGTCTGACACTAAGGAAATCAGGGATCATACAGCAAATATCCATTCACCTCTTTTTATATGGTGCTATAATAAGCCATAAGAGGATAGAATTTACTGCATGTTATGATTAATCTTTATGTTAAGATCACAGCTTGAAACTGATGGCTGTTAAGAACTATAGTGGGCAAATCTGATTAAAGCCCCTATGCAGAATTGAGCCTTGTGAGCTTTAAGCCATGTTATAATGCTGTTACCTTCTCAGAAAACATATCTGGAGCTGTGTTTTGTTTCATTCACATGTCTGAGTAACCCTTTATTATTAGCCTGTCTACATCTCCAAAGCTTAAAATGTGACGTCATGAAGTAGTAGTTTTGAAGTTAACAGCTACCTTTTAAATTTAATTCAGTAGAGACTGGCAATTCCAGGATTGAAATCATCCAAATGATTTTAGTGAAGCTGTGTGGAGTTTAAAAACACAGTGGGCACTTCCTGTAGAAGAACTCAGCCTAAATATGCAGAGTTTGTGTGTTAAACATGTGTGAATGAAACACAACTTTTGGTATGTTTTTGATGAAGAAGAAACTTTATAACACAGATCAGAACAGAACAGAACAACAGTGTATGGGCTCTTTAAATGTAAGACTTTTACAAATGCATAAGCTTTATCCATCACTCTTATATAATGTGTTATTTAAGTGATCATATATTAAGCCTTACTTTTAATGTTACAATTTGACTTTGAGTGCCTACTGATAAAGCCCCCTGGCAATAATACTTTGTACAGATTCAAAAGGTTCAGGGATTTACGATATTATTTTTGGAATACTTTAATTCTGGAAATCATTCAATAGAATCAAAATATTCTTTGTTTTAATTCAACAAATATGCTTCTAGATACCCTTTTAGAGTAGTGATTTTCCTAAAATAGATCAAAATTGGCACTCTTTTCCACTCATCTTGGTGTGAAGCAGAAAAAATGCGCTTTCTTTGAACTGCAGTTACATAAGCCCTGAGCCAAAATAAACACCAGCTGTGTTCAATCCCATGATGCATTGTGGAGGCAGTGTGTAATTTTGGGTAGTGGGGGTGAGTATTTTGCTATCCACACAGATAAATGAGAAATCAGAAATACTGCTGTTAAAATTAAAGTATATTGTGTGAGAATTTAGATTTCCTACTGAACTGTTCTGCACAAATGTATACACAATATTTCCCATTAATAATACATTAAACAATACATTCTATTTTTCTATATAACAATAATATATTTATCTATAAACGTAAAATTAACAATACAGTGACAATCATTACATACATTTATATAAAAACAGACCATCACCAGTGTCATACTCTTACTGAAATATGTGGAAAATACAACTGCACGCCCCACATAAAAATGTAAACATCTGTGATTAAACATAGAACTAGACCCAGACTAAACCAGGATCAAATCAGCACCAAACCCGGACACGGACACAGCCATAGGAACAGATTTATGATGATTATGCAAGTTAATTTGACTCTCCTGTACAAGATAATGACAACAGCTGTCTCTCCTCCCCCGGTCCTCCGCAGACACACACACACACACAGGGTCAGAGAGGCTGGGCACGAGGCCATGTGATGCTTCCACTACACACCTCCTACAGCACTAGACTAAATCAGATGAGATGAGGTTATAGCGTGGTTCATTTAATATGGTCAACTTGGAACATGCTTTAGGGTGATTTTGTAGTGGCATAAAGTACTATTCAATATTTAAGTTTATGATAATATATTCAGTAGCAATATAAGCCTGTGATAAGCTTAAAATAGTGTGTGTTCATTTGCTGCACAACTCATCATTTTATATCTATATCATTGAAACACGACTTACCATAATCATGAATGAACCCAAAGTGCAGGTTAATAGCTGTCAGTTTGGGGAATTTCAAAAGTGTGGTTTGAGTGTAGACCTGTCATGATAAATACTAATTATATCATTCAATATATGAAAGTTGGAACTGTATGTTTTGGGGCTCAATAGAGAGAGATACTTTATTGATCTCGAGGTTAATTCCAAATTTGTCCCTCTTCTGTGTCCTGTAGCATCACAGCAGTGTCCAGGGGGGAACCAGGTGAACACAGCAGGAAAGATTAGATTACATTAGAAATACTTTATTGTCCCACAGGGATAATCAAATGTCCATAGCTAGCTCCTTACCAAGCCTCTTGCACAGTCTCCATGGATACAGGAAAAACTAATATAGCTTATTTCACAAAATCCATCAGTCCCTTGTGTTCATTCCTTCAGTTTATTTTATCTGAAGGTCTTCTGCCACATTTGCTGCCACATATGTTGTAAAAAGCCTGTAACATCTCAAATATCTATAGCTAGCTCCTCAGCTAGCTCTTCAGCTAGTCTCTTGCAAGGTCGCTATGGATACAGAAAAAAACACCTCATTTCACAAAATCCAACTTCTTACTTGGTTCAAATCCAAAGATATGATGTTAAAAACTGAGCTAAAAAAAACCTGAAAGTTTTAAAAACTGTTCGGTGTGTTAGTCAGGCAGCCACAAAAGCAGCCAACCACTGTGGTATTGTATTGTCGTTGAAAATATGATTTATCATGTATAATTTCATTGTAATAGTGGGAATATTTTAGCCAGTTTATGTAATAAGGTAAGACTTGAGCTGTGGAGGGTAGAATAGATAACTTCTGTGGTTAATTATTGGTTCATTCTGCTATTTATTTGTTTCAGCTCAGGGCTCTTAATGATACTGTCTATTAAAAAAAAATAAATTTAATGGAACTATCCTGTTTTGTGTCAGTAGTTTCATAAAGTAGTCTCAGTATTATGGTTTATTTCTGTTTCTGTTTCTGTTTTGTTTCTCTGTAGTGATATTGTGCTTCAAAATGTGTTATCATGACAGGCCTACAAGGGTATCTCAGCATTTCACTTGATAAGTCAAAAAGTCATCTAGACTCAGCAAAACAGATAGATCACACTTTATTACAACAGTTACAGTGACACAGTTTCTTGTCTGTATATCATGTTGGTTCACTCATCTCAGTTTGCTTAGCTGTATTGAAATCTTCAGAAGAATTGGTCCTCTAATTAACATTATATGTAGATGTATTAGTGTATATGTGTTGATTAGTGTATTTCCTCACCTTTTGTTTGTATTCTTTCTCCTTGGTGACTTTGGTGAGCAGTTTGGCCTTTTGTCTCGTCAGCGCCTCGATCAAAGAATCACATTGGGCGACCACGCAGGCTTCAAACTCCACCCCACTCTCCTGCAACACACATTCACACATATTAATACATACTAAAATATCATATACTTCTGAAAAGACACCTGTTAAGACTGCAAAATATGTTGAAAATTATTGGAAAATTTCATCTGGTTCTGTCTGTATTTTGTGTGTGTGTGAGGCACTTTAACTAGTAATACATTTTGCCACGTTTCACTTGCTTGTCTCCATGATGATGCTTTCAATATTCCATAATATGGCATTAAACATCTTCCATTCATGTTAATTACACAAGTTTATACTCAAAAATAACTTGAATAGCAGGGTCCCCTCTCCACTAATATGACCTGTAACTTGTCCTGGAGGTGGTCATCGTCATTAAACAATAGCTCCAAGTTGTTTAATGCGCTTATACCACGGCTACAAACTGAAATGTCTCACCTGTGAATATGAAAAGCTTTCCACTGTCTGTAAATGTCTCAAATATTAGTTATTTAATTGTTTTAAATGAAGCTAGTCCCTACATTCTAGTCAGAGCAGTTGAGGATGTGTTTACCCGTTGCTATGGTGATGTCATGGCGATGGCGGCAGAGCAGTGATATACAACAGTGATTTGGCTGTTGCCGAACTACTTGTGCGTTATGAAGTATTAACTAGAATTCTACTGAATGTCTGTAGTCGATAAATCCGAGTTAGTTGTTGTAAATGCGTTCCATTGCAATAGTTGGGGAAAATATGGTTGCCCGAGAAAGTTTAATGGAACGTCGCTAGATCCTACTAATAAATCGAGTCTGTTAGCTAACGAATAGCTGTCGGCGAGTCAGTTTGACTATTACAAGTTTTAAAAAAAAATTCCCTCTACTGTGAAATGATGTGAAAGAAATCTAAATGTTACTACAAAGTTTTTAGAAGACACTTTTTCTACACATACACAACTTAACATATCAAAACGACAAAAAAAAATTCTCCCCGTTGACTGTGTGCGCTGCCATTTTTACTGTGACGTAAATCAATCGACTCATTCTGCACCAACCTAGCCCGAGTTTGTGTTTCATAACGATTTGATTGGCCGTTCCATTGCACTTTCTCGAGGTGGAGATCGTTTTTCCCTGAGTCCAGAGTACAGTAGAATGCAGCATAAATATGTTAATGTTAGCCAAAGAAAAAAATTTCCATGGAGACAAGAAGGTGGTGCAACTCTTACTAGAAACTGTACACCTTTAACTGGACATACTGCTTTATTTTTCATGCAGCCCTACCCCGGTTATGTTTCAATCATTTCAGTTGGAGTCAGCTATTTCTTCTTAAGTGTTATGGCTGTTGTGGGATTTTAGTCTGCGGTGTTAATGAAGTGTTAATCGAGTGGTCATAAAAGAATAACACTTTGTTGTATGGTGTTAGCAAGTTGTCAAAATGTAACAGCAGGCTGGTGTATATTCTGTAATGCAACTTCATTTCCAAAGCTATCCAGTAAATTACAAACAACACAGACCTACTTTTTAATCATTTCTGTAGTGCGCACACTTTCTGTTTATTTGTGTTTATGATAATTTCTCACTCAGATCATGCGCTATTTTTGTTTTCCCAGAATAAAATATTTCGACACAGCATTAATTATTTCAACAGACTGCAATCAGGCTGCTGCTTTTCTCTGAAAATGCAAATATAAGAAGCCCACTATCTGGTATAGTGAACCTCAATTTGGTCAATATGGTTTATTCTCCTCACTGGCGGCACTCCCCTGTGGGTAAGATGCAATTTTGGCTTTTAATTTCACCAAGATTGCTTTTTTTACATTCAGGCCATATGCGGCGCTGCATATTGCTCTGCCTGGGAGAAGACAATAGACAGAAATAAGAATTGCTATAATTGTATTTCTGCAGAGAATGTATGGAGGATGGGTTTTCATTTGCCTTTCAAAAATAAGTATATGTTTTATTTAGAAATGACGTATCGGCTATTGACAGGAATAGTGGTCTTATATTGAGGCTGGGCAGTTAATGAGATGGTAATCAAAGCACTAATCTAATTCTTTGCAGTTCACGATAATTGCTTTGCAGTAAAACCATAGGGTTTAGAGCAGAGTTAAGACTTATATACAAACCTTTATTGATCCACAAGGGAAATTATTTGGACACAGTGGTTCACACATCACAATATAATATAATAACAAAGAGCAAAAACATGAATGGCAAAATATACCCCAAATAAGTAGCAAACATAGCAAGAGGCTGGTGATAAATAAGGCATAATTATATAAATGTATATGTGCAAGAAAAAAAAATATATAGAGAGAAATATAGTAATACAAATACACGACTACATTTTATAACACCACACTTTTTCCAGTTTTTTACTGTTTACTGTTGACTAAAAACTTAACTTTTGATTCATGAAAGTGTCCACCTTTGGCAGATATAACAGCTGACACTTGTGGCATTCTTTTTTCAAGAGAAATCAAATATTCTTCAGAAAGTTCTTCCCAAGTCTGTTGCAGAAGTTCCCTTAAATGTGTGGCACTTGTAGGTTGCTTGGCTTCCACTTAAGTCTGGAGACTGTGGACACTCCATTTTTTCAACCTCACCATCTTGTTCTTTTTTCCTGAGCTAGTTTTGGCTGAGCTTGAACTTGTGTTTTGTTATCTTTTATCTTTTTTTAACCTCTGGCTTTTCAGTATTTACCTTTGTACCATTTCAAGCTCTTCATTGGACTTGCACGAATTGAGTTGCAATAAATAACTGGAAAAATAAGGGTGTTCTAAAACTTTTGACCAGTAGTGTATATCATACCATCTCCTGTTATATGGTTCGCTTTGTAGCAGCTGGATCACTTATGGTTTTCATAAAGTTTTGGCATTGTGCGAGGTCAAGGGTACAGCTGATCACAACAAACTTACACTTTTTCAGCATATCATTCATACCTGAAAACATGCTGGTCATGATAATTCATATATAAATAAACACAAGAACAGAGAAAGGCAGATTTGCACAGCCATCTGTATATTTTTTTGGTTTTGCTCTGACTTTGCTGTGCACAGAATACAAAATACATCTATGAGCTCCCATTCTGTAAACACAGCTGGTCCCACCCACAAGTTCTGTCAGTCACTCACAGGCTGCAACATCACAGCTACTTCTGCAAACCCAACCACCAGACCATCTATGTTTGATACACCAAAATCTGAAAATACTTAGTTAAAAGCATGTTATTGTTTTGCCTGGAACGTTCTCTCCATGGAGACACCACCAGGCCAAGTTACAGGTCAGATCTGAGGAGAGGCAACCCTGCTCACTGTGAGACTACATGTGTTTCAGTATTTTTTTGAGCAATAAAAAAACACCTATAATTGAATAAATGCAAGATAGGTACATTGATACTTTTAATATATAGTAAATTTTTAATTACGTGGCATTCCATTCCCAAAACCACAAAAATATCCATAGTGACTGTAATGGCATGTACCAGTACTTGGATATTGCTACATACTTTTAAGGTGCCCTTTTATAATGACTAGCTTAGAACTGGCTTACTTCATGTGTAACAAATTAAATTCTTCCATGCACATAACAACTCTATTTCAGCTGGTATGAATTTCAAGTGTCCAATTATAGCGATAGGTGGTAAACAACAATGATTTATGACTGGAAGACAACAATCCCGAGCGGATGCATGGTTTTGTTTTGTAATGTTCTGCCCTGAATGTTAAACAGCAGCACTGCAGACTCAATATAGATATTATGCATTTAAACAAGAAGCACTGAGCTGTGTGATAAGAGCAGAAGAGATCCACACTTTGATAGAAGTCATTTCAAATCCACTGTCTGCTGCGAGTTAAAGGGGCTGTAGGCAACCACATTTTTACTGCCTTAAGAGGAGACACTGCAGGCGAGAACATATCTTTAGAGACATGCTTTTGAAACTTCTTCTGTAGTTTACTCACATAAATATAAAAAACAAACAGAAAGGTGAAAAGATCAGGTTTAAATTGCTTACTTGTTTTTGATGACATATTAGATACAAAAACTATACTGGGGGGATTTTGGATATCTTATTTAGAATTTGAAAAAACGAGTTTAAAATTTGCCTAATAAATCAAATTTCACCTCATTTTTCAAAGTTTTAACTTCACTAAATCAGACTTGGAATTAGATATTTTTTAAAATCCTTCTGTACGTTATCGCAATATCCTGTTAAGTACAAGACTGTAAAGTTTGGTGTGTTGTGTGTTACTTTGAGGGGTGATCCATGTGTCTGTATGCAAGAAAAATGCATCTTGAGAAAACAGCTGTTGAATTTACAATGTCCCTTAAAATTCTGTGGAGGCAAGTTGATTAAACTAAATATTAAAGTATCTTTTGGTGCAGAGCAGGCTATTCCATTGTTTTCACATGAAAGCTTATATGTTAATACACCAAACATACTAAAAAACACAAACTATATACCATATTTTCCGCACTATAGGGCACACTTAAAAGCCTTTAATTTCATCAAGAAACAACTGTGCGCCTTATAATCCAGAGCGCCCCATAGTGCAGAAAATACTGTATGTATTTTTTTCCTTCAATGTCTCACCTTAAAAATGTCAAATACATAGAACTGCATTTTAAACTTTTTGCAATAGTCCAAATTTAATGTTGGCAACCTAATTATTCACAGTGATTAGTTCTATCAGCACACAAGTAGCTGGCCTACTTCCTGGTTCAAGGACAATAAAAAAATCAAATTTTACTTTTGCTTATTACATGAAAAAATCAAACACAGTCCGTAAGGTAACATCTATCTTGCTTTAAATGGTGCAAACTGGAACTAGGGATTAGTCAGTGAATACAACATAAGAAAAATGAACTATGCAAGCATGTGATAATGAATAGTTTTCTCTCAGTATCTTTGTCAATCTTGCAATTAACACTTAAAGTTGCAACCCAGAAAACATAAAAGGAATATGCCACTTGGGAACGAAGATAAGCTGTTTGCTAGAAATCATTATTCTTCAAGGTCTTTAATCAGCACGTACTTAGCATATATTTATTATGTAACAAGGACACAGCTCAGCATAGATCCTGCAACCAACGCACAATGTTGAGTTGTGTATAAATACGCTTCCTCCATGTGTTATTCTAAACTGAGTAGTTGTAGACTAAACGGAGTGAGTAGTTTTACCTGTATTTGTTGGAGCAGGTTCTTGAGTTGGACGAGGAACTCCTTAGCATCTTTGGCCTTGTCTGAAACACCGTTCAGAGCCTGGGAGAGCTGGCACTGTGAAGAGAAAGATACAATATTATGAGGAAATATTTTTACTTTTTAAAATTTATTTCCATAGAAGCACTTTTGGATGGTGTATGTATGAAGGCAATCCTGCACTGTAAGCACTTTATTGCTCTGCAGTAAAGGTGCACTGGGTAGCTTTCCGGTTGGGGCTCCATCACCTGCTTGTTTCTATGGATATTTCATTGCTCTGTCTGGAATGTTCCACAGTATGACATTAAACAGCTCTACTTCACATTTATTCAATTACAGGTGGTTTAATAGCTCAAAAATACCTAGAAAAACAGATATTCTGATTGTGAGAGGGGTTGTCTCTCCACTAGGGATGTAACAATATCCAAATCTCATGGTACAATATTATCACAATATGTATCTCACGGTACGATATCTATTGCTATATTTTGAAGATAAAGAGTCAGACAAAGACAAAGAGTCGGTAACTCTAATATAATTGTAGATGGAACACTTTTTTGCTTTTATAATACCTTGACAAGATTTGGGTGTGAATTATTTCCATCATAATCCCAAGAATTCAAGTAAAAAAAAACATATATCTTTATGTTATCTGCACTGAAATTAATCATGGGATATGTAGTTTTCAATGTTCAGAAGATGTTGCTACTTTAAAACCATGCATTTAAGCAAAGGAACTTGTAATTCGATATATTGTGACAGTCCACGATATTATTGCGTGACTTTTGATGATACGATATCAATATATTTTGGTTATTGTGACATCCCTACTCTCCACAGATCTGACCTGTAACTTGTTCTGGTTAATACCAAACTGTGAAAGATTCCAAAGCAAAAGCATCTCCATCGAGAAAAGCATTTGACGGACCCTCCACCAGAAAAGGTTTACAATGCACCTTTAAGTGGACATATACCAGTGCACAACCTTTCTTTTTTTTGTTACTTTTATTTGATTACTTTATCAACCATGTAACAGTTTTAAATTCACAACACCTTTACTTTACTTTATAAATATGCAAATCTGTTCTAAACAATGCATACACACAAGAATGCAAGCAAAAGTCACCATTTCAGTTCATTTCAGTTCAGTTCAATCCCAGTAACCAGACATTCGCTAGCACGCACAACAACTAGATGCTCAGATTATGTCCATTCTCAAAGCAAATACCACTCAAGTATCAACCCCCCTGTGTCTAATAATGAGATTACTTGTTAATCCCGATTAGATCAAAATATATCAAGATTAAAATGCAAACATGCGTGCCAAGTTTGGAAACACCACAAGATGTTTAGGCAAAAAATGGATAAACAATTGCCAAATCTTTTTAGAAAACAAATCAAAACATTTAGTGCTTTTCCTTAATCCTAAATCCATTTCGAAATTCAAAATCCTTCATGAACTCAAAACCACAAAGTCATTTCGATATAAAACACCACACCTCAAGGGCAAAACGAAAAGTAGATTGGATTGATCTGAGAACCGAGACTAATGCGTTTGACACCAACTAAATTGTCTGTTTACAAAATTGAAGCCCCTCCCCCTACCTGATTTGCATACAATAGCCTTGAAGTGTCGACTGTGCCCATGTAAGTAGCGTGTCCAGGGGAGATTCAAGGTAATATATGTAGCAATTTATACCCCATTAAAAGTATATGGTCCGTACATTTGCTACAGGAGCTACAGAATCTATTAAAGAAAGCCATTAAACACAAGATTATCATGGATTCAGGGGTTAATTAAGATAAGATACATTAAAAAAATGCAGAGGTTGGTTAACAATTTAAAAAGCCTATATGCCAGGAGGATTTTCTACTTTGTTTCATCAACCAGTGGTCGTAACGATGAGTGTTTAATAACGGCCGAATAATAATTTGTTATGAAATATTATATTCATTTTCATTGCCTGATCCAGTACTGTATTATGCTGTAGTGTATTTGACATGGGACAATGGCGTGTGAGCAGCCAAAAAGAGGGGATAGGGGACAGATGGTGCATGCCCATCACTCAGACACAGACAGGACAAAGGACCATTACAGTCAAACATCAACCAATGAGGAGACACTTTACCCCCACTGTTACCCCTGCTGTGATGAGTTCTGGGTGAATATAATGTGCTACATCTTAAATATTGAAATAATATATATTCCTTGCAGAAGGAAATTGTTTGGAAAAAAAAAAAAATATATATATATATATACATACTACTGATTCAAATTATTCACAAAAAATTACAAAAAAACAACACACACACAAAAAAGGCTGTAGCTAAATAAATCTCTAACATTTTTCATTTGACTTCAATTGGTAAGTACTTAACCTATAAGTCCAGGACCATATTTTAAAGTGCTACCATTACTGTTTTGGCCACACTATGCACTGTATTGTCTAGTGGAATATATTGCAGCAAAGTAGCAAGGAAAAACTTGTTGAATCTAAATTTTGTTCAGTTATAATTAAGGTTGTTACAATAACCAAAATATCGTGATATCGTAACATCAAAAGTCTCTCATTAATATCGTGGGCCATCACAATATATCGAATTACGAGTTTCTTTGCTTAAATTCATTGTTATGGTGCAGCAATAGCTAAAAAAAACAAAAAACAGAGGGAACTACATCGACCATGATACTCCGTTTGCTCCGTTTTGGTGCAAACTACATGAAGAAATAGCAGTTCTCAGCACTTGTAAATCTTAGTTCTCAATTATTTATTAATTTATTAATTATTAAATCTTGTCATGGCATTTTAAGAGGAAAAAATTGCATATTCACAATTTTGTTAGCCTCCACAAAATATCACAATAAATATCGTACCGTGAGATTTATATCATGAAAATATCATACTGAAAGATTTGCATCCCTACTTATAATTGATTGATTTATTCAGTTGAAAAAACATAAGCTGTAGTACAACTCTTAGTCAGTCCATATGTAAACTGTCACTAATTATCACTTTTTCACAGTAATAGACTTTTTCTTCACTTGTTTTCAATTTGCATAATGTAGAGTGCACAACATATTGTGGCAAATGTCTTGGTAAAAAAATTTTAAAGATTCCAATAAACGGTCTTATGTAACAAATTATACAAATTGTCAGCGCTAAATCACAACCAGATTTCCTGGAGATTTGACTTTCACTTCTTTTTTTTATAATCCCTGCGGCACAATCACCCACCCCAACCCCCATCTCATCACCCATCAACCATCAACCATCCCTTATCTCATCCACTCTCTCCTGTCTGCTCTGCACGTGCGGCCGGAGCCAAGGGGGCGGGGCACGTGGTCAGCGAGGGGCGGGGTCATGTGGTGTGGGGTGAGGAGGGGTGCACGGGGGAAGGCCACAGTTCACAAATGGAGCCCTCCCTGCACCGAGAGACCATCTGTCCCGCCAAGCTGCCCTGTCTGCTGCCACGGTGAGCGAGCACGCCAAGAATCTAACCAGCTAACAAGCCCGTGACGGATGTGGCGTGCCCTCCTCTCTCATTTGCACAGCCTGCTAGTGCATTTGTTTAACCGCACAGACACTCATAAGGTCAAACTAGTAGATTTACAAGCTCCACCCACCTGTCTGACACTTAATTTGACACTTTTTAGCAGGTATTGATTTTGGAGCGTGCTTTTGTCTAAAGGAGTGATGTGGGTGTGAAAAGAGAAGGAGAATACAATAGGTTAAGTCCATACAATGTTTAAAACAACAACAGGGAAGATTACTGAAGTCTATGGTGAGCTTAACAACACTGAGTGCAACTGAGGAAAGCAATAAATGTGTTTTTTAAGTAGTAGTAATAGTAGTAATAGAAGTAGTAGTAGTAGTAGTAGTAATAGTAATAGTAGTAGTTATAGTAGTAATAGAAGTAGTAGTAGTAGTTGTAGTAGTAACATTAGTAATGATGTTAGTAGCAGTAGTAGTTATAGTAGTAGTTGTAGTAGTAACATTAGTAATTATAATAGTAGTTGTAGTAGTATTAGTAGTAGTAGCAGTAGTAGTGGTGATAGTTATAGTAGTAGTAGCTATAGTAGTAGTAGTAGTAGTTGTTGTTGTTGTAATAGTTACAGTGGTACTTATAATCATAGTTGTAGTAGCAGTAGTGGTGGTGATAGTTATGGTAGTAGTAGTAGTAGTAGTAGTAGTAGTTATAGTAGTTAAAGTAGTAATTATAATGGTAGTTGTAGTAGCAGTAGTGATGGTGATAGTTATAGTAGTAGTAGTAGTAGTTATAGTAGTACTTATAGTAGTATTAGTAGTTATAGTAGTCATTGTAGTAGTTAAGAAAGTAAATCTAACGGTAGTTGTAGTAATGGTAGTAGTAGTAGTAGCTGTACTAGCAATAGTAGTGGTGGTAGTTATAGTAGTTAGTAGTAGTAGTAGTAGTAGTATTGGTAGTAGTTACAGTAGTAGAAGTAGTAGTATTAGTGGAGGTACTTATAGCAGTAGTAGTAGCAGTAATAGTAGTAGTAGTAGTAGTAGTAGTAGTAGTAGTAGTAGTAGTAGTAGTGGTGGTAGTTATAGTAGCAGTAGTAGTTGTGATAGTTGTAGTAGCAGTATAAGTAGTAGTAGTAGTAGTAGTAGTGGCAGTAGTATAGTTATAGCAGTAGTAGTAGTTCAACTGTTTCACTTCATAAGAGCTGGAAAAATAAACCAGGGTATTTGAGGTGATCACTATAGTTACAAATACTTCATGCTTTGTTTCAGAATATAAATACGACCCCCAACCCCCTTTGAAATCAATAACTCCAAACTGTTCAAATCAGCCAGAGGCAAAAACCACTGCTCATCCACTTTATCTGGAGCCATAGTCCGAAAACGTTATCATCAGATTTTACACGAGAACTAACCGACCAGAACTTTTGTACAGTCAGGATTCTTTAAACTCAGAAATCATTCAAAATATATACACCCTGACTAACACTAAAGACATAAGTGTATCTATCTGTGGTGTTTTGGAGGGGTAAACTCTTCCTGAATGATTTTACTTTTTATTGCATGTGCAGTTTGTTGTTATCCAAATTTCTAAAA